CCTTGCATTTTTCCAACTCAATTAAGCCATTACCAGGGCTAAATGAGGCATGGACTCTCCAAAAGTCACACCTGTTGTCAGGGAGATTGGGTGAGGGAGGGGGGGTAGGGGTGCAAAACCTGTGCAGCTGGCCAGCAGACAAGCCGGGCTGGGGAGAGGCAGCAGAGTGTGACCAGACAGCTTCTGTTCCCTACAGTGCTGAAAGAGACCCCCATTGTAACACAAGAGAAGAAATGAAGACTGACCTAGGACTGGGGACAGTTATGCTGATGGGGGATGGTCACATTGATGATGGCAGACAGGATATCCCTCCCTAAATTCTTAGGCAGCAAGTGTGTACAGAAGCCCCGACCGTGAACAGTCCTCAGCAAGATCTTGTAAGGAAGCTGTAACCAGAATCACACACACAAGGTTGCTGATCGTTATTTGAACTCTCCCAGTTATGTTTTTCCTGTGAATCCTCACTAGTGCATCCATTTCACCTTTCGGTAAGAGTGGTTCAAACCCCACCCATCATGCTCCACAGTCAGTGTGACAAAGAGGACAAAGATTACAACAAACCAGGGAGAAATCCGTGTACTCAGCCTATAAAGACAGGTGACAGTCATTGGAAATCAATTTGACTTTGTAAACATTTTTTCTCACTATTCTTTCATGGGCAACCCAGAAATTTTATTTCTAATTGAGAAATAGTTTTTGAGCTTGCCATGCCTTAACTACATGTAGAGGTTTTGCATTCAGAAGATCTGTGCCTGGGTTTTCACTAGGCGGACAAAATCATTTGGCTGGAAAATTACATGGCTTCCAGCAATGTTGAAATCAAAAGGAAGTAAGGGCTTTATCTGGTGAAAACTGAAAGTGGAAATGTTGACGACAGGCCTGTCTTTGTCCTCCAGCAACTTGGTCTGGATTATGGGATCTTAGATGAACCAAGGACCCCCCTCTTTCTCTGCACAAAGGCACGTTCAACAGATACCTGTTTAAGTATCCATTCAGCTTCAAGTCCCTTGTTCAATGCTGCAAATGCAACTGAGATCATGAAGTCCTGCCCACAAGAGTTCTTAGGTCACGTGGGGTGGCTGCTTTCCCTTTTCTGTCTGCAAGTTGCCCAGTCAGACTCAGTCTGTACCAGTCACACTTTAGTCGGTCAGTTAACATCTACTAAATTTCAGATGTGGTACTTGGTGGTACTTTGTGGCAGACTGCAATGGTGAGGAAGAGCTGGTCCTGCCCCAGTATGCCGTGTGTCATTCAAAGCTGTGACTCAATCATTCCCAAAGCTATCACTAGAGAATGTCACTCCGTTCTGTGCTTGCTCTGTCCTTAGCTCTAGCTTCACTGTGATATTTGCACTGCTGTGATTGCAATGCATTTTCTGTCTCCTTTTAAACCATGTGTACCTTGAAGGCAAGAATTTCACATTTTTTTCTCTAGTGTCTTACATGCCTATGGTGTCTAACAGAAGGGGAGCCCAGAAAATGTTCCTTGAGTAAATAATCACCCACCTAGAGACCCCAGAGCCTGGGCTACTCGAATCTTCCTCCCACATCTCCTGGGTGAGGAATTAAATGAGAAATCACCTGTCTGTCCTGAGACACCCGTCCTGACACCCTCATGATGGCGAGGACCTTCTAATCAGGGAATCAGCTGTTTCCGATATGTGTCGGGGGGGGGGGCAAGGGACACAAATATTAGCATTGGCTTTGTGTGCGGTGCTGTTCTAGAGGACAACAAACATGACTGGTGTGACTTAAATGGACTAAACTTAATGTAAAGAGAACAAATGAGTTTGTGACTCAGGACGGGTACTGTTAGGAGTAATTAGGAAAGAATGCAGAAAAAACGGTGCCTTAAACAAGTCAGAAACATGTTTCTCTGTCACACGAATGGCAGGATCAGTCCAGTGATGGGAGTCTTAACCTACAGAGCTATCACCCCCTCTAGCGTGGCTCTCGGTTCCAACTGGACCTCAGCTGTCATATATACCCCCACACAGCAGAGCAAGGGAAGCAGATGCAGGGGTGAAGAAGGGATCCACACAGCAGAGCAAGGCTCGCAAAGACACACTGCAGACAGACAAAACCAAGGGTAGAATCTGAGTATGGCTGGATATGCCTATAAGCCTGGAGGCTGAGGCAGGAGAATCTCAAGTTTGAGGACAGACTGGGCTGCATAGGGAGTTCTAATAAGACCTGTTTCAAAAACTAAAGAACAATAAAATTCCCTCACACTGGGAAGGCAAGTTAAGAAAAAAATGTATATATTCAGGTGAAAAAAAAAGAAAAGACTTTAGATGCCTTTGGAAATTGGGTGACTTTCCAGTTTGGGAGAAGATGGGAGAATTAGGTGGATTCCAGGGGGACTTAGGAAGCAGTTGTTCTTGATGGGTAGAAAATAATTTCCTGTAATAGAAAACAGAAATGAGGAGCAAATTTTTGAGGGAGGGGAGTTTAGGGCTTGTTAAGATGAATCAGTTTGGGAGGGACGTCTGGATGAAGATGTCTAGTTGACAATACAGTCCTTGGCCCTGAACTTGAGAAAAGACCACACTGAACCAACATCAAAAAGCAATGGCATTTGACCCACATTGGAGGGACCTGGGATATAGGCGGGATCTGTGTGTGTGTGTGACCCACCCAGCAGAGGGTTCTCAGCAGCTGTTCAGGCTACTGCAGAAACGCTTCCCCAGAATCTATGTTCTATGACAGATCCATAATTAACCTGAGCCCTTTACAAAAGGGCTTCTTATACCTTTTCACTTGTCACCACTTTTTCCTGGGGGCGGATATTCACACAATAAAATCTTTACTGAAAATAAATCAGAAAGAAAAGTGCCTAAAGCAATTATTTGATGCTTTCACTTCATTCTGTTATTATGGGGGGAGGGGGAAACAACAACAAAAATAACCTCACACCTTTAATCCCAGTACTAGAAGCAGAGGGAGAAAGTTCTCTAAATTCAAGACCAGCCTGGGCTACAGAGTGAGTTCTGGGACAGCCAGGGCTATGCAGAGAAACCCTGACTCGGAAAAACAAAACAAAAGGAAAAAAAGAAACTTGAGGAAGAAAGGGTTTATTTCACCTTACACTTGAAGATCAAAGTCCTTCACTGAGGGAGGTCAAGGCAAGAACTCAAGCCAGGAACCTGGAGAAGAAACCATGATGATGTACTACTTGCAGGCTCCCTTCCACAATCTTAATTATCTCGGGACCGCCTACCTGTGAATGGTGCTGTTCGCAGTGGGCTGGGCCCTTCTGCACTAACTAATAATAAGACAGTCCTGCACGGATATGCCCACAGGAGAATCTTATAGAGGCTATTTCTAAATCAGGGCTCTTCTCAAACAATTCTAGGCTGTGTTAAGTTGACAGCTAAAGCTAACTGGTAGAGGTGTGGGGGCACACACCTTTGATCCCAGCACTCAGAAGGCATTAGCAGGCAGGTCTCTGTGAGTTTGAGGCCAACTTGGTCTACAGAGAGAGCTCCAGGCCGGCCAGGCGTACAGGAGATCCTGTATAAAACATTTAGCATGCATCTAATTTTAACACTTATTAAAGACAATAGAAATTTGCATACTAATTCTATGGGTGTGCTTGTTTATTTTGCATGAAAAGTAAACTTCAGCTAAAAACAATGCCTCACCTTCAACATTCTTGAGAGTTCTTTGATATTTGACTTATAATCATCAATGCTGAGCATGCCACGTTGTATAAATATGTAGTTTAAAATGGCAGAAGTCTGTTTAGGGACATTTCAGAAATTGTTGAAAATCTGCCCCAACCCCAAGCCAAATTTGTTGTAAGGTGAGGGTTTGTTTGTTTAAAAGACATTCAAGTCATTAACTCAAATGGCAAAGAATCAAACCTTCTGACACAATACAGTCTGAAGATACAACAATTCAAATCATGTCAGGGAATGGCAATAGGGACATATTAAACACCTGTTTCCTGCTACTAAGCCATTGGGTTTAAGAACGGAAAACTTCGTATGTGTAATGAAACACTGCAGTTCAGACACACACCGTTCTTAAACAGAGGCACTTCCAGAAGCAGTAAGTTGCCACTCGGTGTGATAGCATGCTAGTGCCAAGATACTTGTGTGTTCAGAACCAAGGCTGTGATGAAGTCACGTGATGCGGCCTGAGCAAGAGCTGCCAGAATCGCCTCAGATTCATCATGCATTTGACTCGGAATTAATTTCTGGCCAATACTTCTTCATAAAATCTTGACTATTGCCAAAATTTGTTTTCCTTTTAAAACTGAAGTGGAGGGGGTATGTTTGCCACTGCACATGTTAAGATCAAAATATAACGTTTAAGAGTCCATTCTCCCCTCTAGAAATTGAACTCAGTTCCCTAGGTCATCGGCTTGTGTAGTAAGCACTTTTACTCACTGAGCCATCTCACTGGCCCTTGTCAAAATTTCCAGGATCCCCCACATTCAATCGTATAACCCTCTATGTTACAATCCATCATGTGTTTCATATGAACTGTTCTTAAAAGCCTTGCATAACAAACTGGAAACAGAGATCTTAACTAAAGAGCGTGGGGCCATCAAAATAAATGAAGAATGATCTTTTCTGACATTTTTTCTTGATCTGAAGTCAGATTTAAACTTAAATGTGTCTTCTTCTGTGTTTTCTATAGAAACATATGGGGATAAAGTATCATTGGTATTTTAATTGAAGGAGCTGCCACTTCTGGGATGTTTCCATGCATCCTTCATGCAGAAGGACGGGTGTCTGCAATCAGCAGCTGCAGAGCGTGCCACAGTTACAGATAGCCTCTTTAGACCATGGCCTCTCAAAAATGGATGCAGCCCTTCTGCAATATGGGCAACTGAAATTTTCTGTGTCGCACACACAGTACCGCAAATTGTGATCCTAAGTCACGCTTCTCAACCTGAAATTCCCAGCTACCTCTGTCGTCATACTAAGATTGGATGTAGGTTTACGTAAATCCACTTTGTCTCTGTCTCCCTCTCTCTTTTTTTAGAAAGCATCTGGGGCAGTCTCTACATGATGTCACTCAGGACTACAGGACCAACCACCCTACACCTCTGCAATGGAGAAGGCAGAAATGGAGAAACGAACACAATCACTGCTATTCTGTCATTAACCACTCTGTAGACATGTGTCCCCACCAGAAGGTGTAAACTGCACCAAAGGGGGAAGCTTTTGGGCCCCCAGACCACTAGCACTTTTGACTGCCACCCCAGAGAGAAGGCAGAGCCATGGCATCTTATAGCTGCTGTTTGGCCCTCTTGGCTCTCGCCTGGCACTCTTCTGCCTATGGGCCTGACCAGCGAGCCCAAAAGAAGGGGGACATTATCCTTGGGGGTCTCTTTCCTATCCATTTTGGAGTAGCAGCCAAAGATCAAGATCTGAAGTCAAGACCAGAGTCTGTGGAGTGCATTAGGTAAGGGAAGGCTGTAAAGGGTCTGTCCATCCTGGGTGGATGGAGAAAAGCTGCGCTGGACCCAAAAGAACATTAAAAACCTTTGCTCTTTTTGTGAAAACAACAGTTATCATGCTGAGGCGTGTTGACTCCTCCCTTTCCTTTGCCTAAAGAAGTCTTTATCCAAAAACAAAACAAAATACCAAGGGCATTGAATAGAAAACACTTGGTTGGCCAAGGACCAGCCATTTCATAGCCAGAGCATCATTGGTTGCCTAGTGACAGCATCTGGCAGCCATATTGCTCAATGCAAGACTTGGCATGGTACATACTGCTCTTCCAGCAATGAAGCAGAAGGATTGAGAGTTCCAGGTTACATAGATGGACCCTGTCTCAGGAGCAGGACCTTGTCTCAAAAACACAAACAAGTAAGAAAAGATAACAGAGGGCTGGAAATTTAACCTAGTGGTACAGCCCTTTCTAGAATGCACTTCTATCCTCAACCCTACAAAATTAATCCATTAGTCCATTCATCAACTGAGTAATTAAGAATGTATGAAGGAAGTCCATTTTAGCTCTTGTAAACTTTCATGGTAAATGTCTCTTTGACCTATATGCTCAGTGATCCATGAGCATTGGCTGCTTGGCCTTTTTTTGTTGTTCACCTTTAATAAAGGAATTCAGTTAAAGGAAACACTAAGACCCAAGCAAGAACTTCCTAAATACAGACCATTGCATTTGGAACCTTTTTCTGTTGAAACATCTTTCTCATAAAAAGGTGACTGTCCTTCCTCTATCCTATTCCCCTCACTACCCACCTTTGACCCTGTCACACACAGAGAGCATACCTGGCAGAGGGGACATCACAGATTGCATAGGCATCTTGAGGTCTCTCAAAACATCTGAAGGCAGCCAATATGTCCCCCTGAATCTTCTCCAAGTCAATAGTCTCAGTTTTCTTATCCTCTTCTATGTGATTTTTTGAAGCTCTCACCATTCTGTTTGTCCCCCATCTGATGCTCCCTCCTTGACTGTGACCACTTTAGGATGTGGCTTGTGTTCATAGACAGCTCAGTAGTAGGATGTGATTGCCATAGTGTCACCTTGCTTAGATGGGAGACACCTCAGAGGCCATGAGCTCACATCACATGTGATGCAGCTTCTCGGAGAGCAGCATTTAGAACCTTGCAGCTTCTAAAAGGAACCCAGCATTTCACCTTGAACTTCCTGATAGCTGGAAAATGAAAGTGAAGAATCAACAGAAAACTGAATTTCTGTTCACGCCATAAGGATAACAGAAATTATAAAGTATAAGTTAATCCAAAGCATACAATTCTTTTGTCTAGTTTTTTTCAAGACAGGGTTTCTCTGTGTAACTGTCCTGGAACTCCCTTTGTAGACCAGCTGGCTTTGAACTCACAGAGATCCGCCTGCCTCTGCCTCCCAATTGCTGGGATTAAAGGCGTGTGCCACCTCTGCCTGACAAGCATAGGATTCTTTTTTTTTTCTTTTTCAAGACAGGGTTTCTCTGTGTAGCTTTAGAGCCTGTCCTGGCACTCACAATGTAGACCAACCAGACTGGCTTCAGACTCACAGAGAGCCATCTGCTGCTGCCTTCCATGTGCTGGGATTAAAGGCATTCGCTACCACCACCCAACTAAGCATACAGTTCTTAAGGTGTCTCATACCACCATCTGTATGTGGTCTTCAAATACTTGTTTATCTACAAAGTGTTCATTTTGCTTTCTACTTTCTACTTTAAGCTCCAGGAATGCCACAGTCTAAATTTGTGACAAATCTGCAAACCTGAGGCTGTTTTTAGGCTCCCACATATTGGCAACCTGATCTATTTACAGTCCTCTGCTGACCTTTTTTTTTCCCAAGGCAAAGACTTGCTATAAAGCTCAAGGCTGGCTTGAAACTCACAACCTGCCAAGTGCTGCCATCACACAAGCATGCACCACCAAACCCAGCCACTACTGCAAATTTTACACTAGAGAATGCAGCTATAAATTATTCAGTTAAGTACCAATTAAATAGTCCTTTTTATTACTGTTCCCTAATTCAAAGGGACACACTGTACTAAGAATTTTACCTATCTCATGACATCTTTAAAGCCAGCCTAATTGGAAAATGTTGTTTCTGTTTCACACAAGAGGACCTTGACCCTCAAAGGGCACATCACAAAACTGCAGGATGATAGAGCCCAGATTTAAGCCATACTCAGACAACCCTTCCGCTAACAGCTGACCAACGTCTCCCACTATCCATGTCTTTCTTCCAGGTATAACTTCCGTGGATTTCGATGGTTACAAGCCATGATATTTGCCATAGAGGAGATAAACAGCAGCCCCAGGCTTCTTCCCAACATGACACTGGGATACAGGATATTCGACACCTGCAACACTGTCTCCAAGGCCTTGGAGGCCACCTTGAGTTTTGTGGCCCAGAACAAAATTGATTCTCTGAACCTGGATGAATTCTGCAACTGCTCAGAGCACATCCCTTCGACTATTGCAGTGGTGGGAGCAACCGGCTCGGGTGTCTCCACTGCAGTAGCCAACCTGCTGGGGCTCTTCTACATCCCCCAGGTACTGATGCCCTCCTTTCTAAGACGTAATTTTAGTGTGTGTGTGTGTGTGTGTGTGTGTGTGTGTGTGTGTGTGTGTAGGTGTAGGCGTGTGCACATGTGCCAGTGCCTTCAGAGACCAGAGGTGTCAGATCTCCTGGAGTTGGAGCTACAAGTGGTTGTGAGCCACCCAACATGGGTGCTGGGAATTGAACTCAGGTTCTCTCAAAGAACAGCTCAACCATTCAACCACTGAGCCATCTCTCCAGCCCAACTGGCATCTCCTGAGATGGACACCAGAGGCAGGGAGGAGGAGACACAGGTTTGGAGAGGTGCATGCTAGCAGTGTCCTCTGTGGCTTTCCATGGGCACAAAGGGCGCTGCAGCACTGTATCATGAGCACTTGGAGTTTCTGAGACATTTACTTTTGTCAATGAAAGCTTCACTGCTCTTCCAGTACTTTTAAACCTAACTTGCATGTATACAACTTGATCTTTTTTTTCTGTTATTTCCCAGGTCACTGTTTTAGTAACTGACATTCTATTTTTACCAAAAGGAGTAAGGTCTCCCCATTCAAACCAAAAATATCTGCCCCTAATTCTGTTCCCTCGACATGTCTTCTTCCCTATTGTCAGCTTTAGCTCAGAGGGGAATAAAGCATACTTCCCCATAAAATAGAAGCATGATCACTGTCCCATACGTTCTGAAATAGAGCATACTCTAATTTCCCCCAACAAATATTTACAGAGTGTGTATGAACAGTCTCCATCCTGCAGGAACTCAACCTGGCGGGAGGCAGGTGCATTTTCAATTACCAATCATTCACCAAAGCATGTATTTTATAAGCAGTGATTCAAAGTTGTATTCCGCCTCCCCTAGACCAAATGACAGCAAACTCCGAACACCATTTTATTACCTAATTTTCACTTTAGCACTTTGGCCCATCCAGCCAACCTTTCTTGAAATGGATAACTATAGATCTGTTGCGTCCCTTTGTCATAGTGAAAATTGCAAATAGTTTAAATGTCCATGAATAAGACATTTGTGGTATAGCCTTCAATTGTAAATTAAAAATCAGACTTCAATTTTTTCGTTGTTCAATATTTAAAATGTAATCTTCAAGGAGGTCTGTTTCTTTGCTGACAGCCTCAATCCTTTTGCCGACATGTAACAACATAGACACTCTTGTCATTGTGTACAGAGCCCTTACTTTCAAGAAGTAAAGCTGTTTCCGATAAGAATGCCCTGATTTTGTCATTTTTGTGCCAAACTGCTCTGACCCAATCCTTATTAGTCATGTTGGGCATGTTAAATCTGGAACATTATTTTAAATGCACTGTGATTGTAAGTTGTCATCTCATAGTCAAGTGATAGAAGTTGGAAATGGCATCAGATTTTAAAAAATAATAAAATAAATACTTTTTTAAAATAATGAGAAGGGGGTAGTTCCATTTCTGTATGGCTAGAATGAAAGTATGAATGATGAAGGTGATAAGAAGTCTGCAGTTGACTAGGAATAGTTGTAATTTAAGAAGAGCAGCATGTGAGAGAAAGACGCCATGCCACAGGGTTCAAGTAGAGGGATTTTTGTTTTTGGTTTGGTTTGGTTTTTCCAGAAGGGTTTCTCTGTATAGCTTTGGAACCTGTCCTGGAACAGGCTGGTCTCAAACTCACAGAGATCCACCTGCCTCTGCCTCCCAAGTCCTGGGATTAAAGGCGTGTGCCACCACCACCTGACTGATAGATTTTTTTATTGGGGAAAGGGATCATAAAATAGGGAAAGGGGAGAGGGGAGATTGGCCTCCAGAGACAGGAGCAGCAGAGAGGAAAGAGGGGGTAAGGAAGAAAGACAGAGAGAGAGATGGGAGATGGGCAAGGCCCTTTTAAAAGGGAACATAGTGAATGTGCACAGGTGGTGCTCTTGGTGGCTGCAGCTGAGGGCATATCCTGTCAGAACTCCAAGGACAGGACAGTATAGATGCCTGAATACTAACAGTAGTGATGCATACACTGTGAGTTTGAGACAGGCCTGTTTTGTATAGTAAGTTCCAGTGCTATCTACATAGTGATACTCTGTCTCAAAAAAAAAAAAGATACCTATAGCATTGATCAGTCAAACTAATATGTTCATCTTCATCAGTTCTTTGCTGTGGTTTCAAGTCTGAATCACTCAGAGAGCTTTAAAAGTCCCTCTGACTGGGTTCATCCTGCAGACATCATGGTTTGCTAGCCTATCTGGAACATGGATCCTTCCCCAGTGAAATTATAGCTCAGAGCAAGGAAACACTGCTCTGTGGTTAGGGCCACATGCTCAGCCCTGTTACTTATGTTGGCGCCACCAAGTGGCTGTGACAAAAAGACCAGTGGGAAGAAACTGGTCAGGACAGCTTTCTCCCCTCTGTCAAGAAAAGTTCAGTGTGTTTTTAAGGGATTTTCTTTGAAGGACACTGCATGACATTAACTTGACTTTATAGGTTGTCATTTGAAACTGGTCAAATATTACATTAAGTACGTGAAGAGAATATATCCATGAGAGATAGTTTGGGTTTGAATTTCTATCCCTTTATGAATATTTTTGCCCTACTTTTTCAAAAGAAAATAAAGAAATGACCAATGCAGATATTAGAGATGTTAAGTTTTTGCCTTTGTAAAACCCTGACTCCAAAGCCAGTTTTCTGATCCACAAAGCTTTCAAAATTAATAACATGGATATGATGGTCATCTGGCTGGGAACATCTGATCGCTATGGTTGATTTGGCTGATTCGGCTACCTAGGCAGGTATCCCCCTCCTTCCTCAGAACTCCATGTACATTTTTTCATAAACTGTTCCCATGGTCAAGAAGGACCTTCCCTGAATAGAGCAGGACCTCAGCTGAGGGTATATGAGTAGCTGTGCTCCCCTGCCAGAACCTCCAGCAGGCTCTCAAAGACTAATAACATGTACACAAGTTATTTCATCTAACTACCTAGTTCCTGAACTTCTGTGGAAGCAGGAGGGGGATTATTTTGGCTGAAAAAGTTGTCAGTTTCATGTTACAGCTTCTAAAATCAAAAGCCTGTCTGAGAAGTTATGTTTGCCTTTGCCAAATATGTTTGGGTCTTTCCTAGGTCAGTATATTTGGCACATTTCATATAAAGACTCTTAATTGATGAAAAGAAGCCAATTGTAAACATTTGTTTTGAGACATTGCCCCAACAAAGCTAACTAGTAAGAAGTATATGGCAACCCTTCCTGCAGGTCTCTTCGGCCTGTTTTCTGAAGACGTTCCAGAGAGCTTCAGAACACTAGTAAGCAAACACTGTTAAACACTACTTCACTTCCCAGAACAGCTCTATTAAGAGGAAAGCTGCTCTGTTCATCAGAAGAAATGCTCTAATAACTTGGGACTCCCTGGCTGGTGAGCTGTGATGACACCTAAGGGGCCCAAGCAGAGGTGTTGATCCCCTGCAGCTTTCAGGCATTGTGGGGCCTGAGAAGAAGGGACCCTGGGTTAGTCGCTCTTCCATCGCCAGTATTCTGTGCTATGACTTTCTTTCTTTTTCTTTGTGTAGCCCTGACGGTCCTGGAACTCGCTCTATAGACCAGGCTGAGCTCAAAATCACAGAGATCCGCCTGCCTCTGCCTCCCAAATGTTGGGATTAAAGGAGTGTGTCACCACTACTCGGCTCAACCACAATATTTTAAAAAAACATTGCAGAGCTCTGTACTACCTAACAGTATCTGGGCTCTTTCCAGGCAGTGATTTCTTTCCTTGATGGACGCCCATGAGCAAATGCAGAGCTGCCTACAGTGCAGAGTGGGGACTGTTAACAACACGCCTTCTCCCAGCCTCCTTTTCAGCCTCTAGAACGTTTTAGAGGATCACTTCAGAGGCTGGGCAAGGAGGTTTAGTCATCACCTGCAGCTGAACAATGGGCTTTGCATGATGGTTGAATCACTGAGAAGTCAGAAGAAGGGTGTTTTCTGGTGATATTTAGTGATGTTTGTTATTGCTGTTGACATATGGGGCAACTGAGATTTCATACTGAGCTTGATTGATTTAACTGAGCCTAAAAGCTAAACAGCTCTCAGAATTTACTGGAATTGATGTTAGTTTTATCTAAAGAGCACAGGCAAGTAGGAAAGTGATGCAAGGAAATAACCGGGAAATGGGAAGAGAGAAAATGAGCAGAGCTGGAGGAAGGACCTCTTTGGGGGTCCTCTGAAGAGTCTGAAGTTTAGAACCACAGGAAAGCTGATTCTCCCAGAGGTGGGTTGTGTACAAAGCATTCGTAACAGTGCGGTAGGCTATAATATTCAGATCAGAACCTGGGCCCAACAGGCAAATCATGTGTCAAGTTGAACACATGGGTCTAACATAACTTCAGAGGAAGACAGGAGGTACAATGGGTGGCACAAGATTTCTTGAAGAGATTAGCACATTCCACTATGGAGGGGTTAAGTCTATTGCTAGACCCAGTTTTGAAGGCATCATCGTGAAGAACCCTACACTAGTACTTGAGGGTTCATGTTGGGATGGAACTGTGTGATTTTTCTCACACATCCAGCCTGCCTTGAAACTCAGCTGGAACCTTATTCACGTACTCATTCTTAGTTCTTGACTTTCCCCAGGTGAGTTATGCCTCCTCCAGCAGGCTCCTCAGCAACAAGAACCAGTACAAATCATTCCTCCGCACCATCCCTAATGATGAGCACCAGGCCACCGCCATGGCCGACATTATCGAGTATTTTCGCTGGAACTGGGTGGGCACAATTGCAGCTGATGATGACTATGGCCGGCCAGGCATTGAGAAGTTCCGAGAAGAAGCTGAGGAGAGGGACATCTGCATTGACTTCAGTGAGCTTATCTCCCAATACTCTGATGAGGAAGAGATCCAGCACGTGGTGGAAGTGATCCAGAACTCCACAGCCAAGGTCATTGTTGTTTTCTCCAGTGGCCCGGACCTAGAGCCCCTCATCAAGGAGATTGTGAGGCGCAACATCACAGGCAGGATCTGGCTGGCCAGTGAGGCCTGGGCCAGCTCCTCCTTGATTGCTATGCCTGAGTACTTCCATGTGGTCGGGGGCACAATTGGGTTTGGTCTGAAGGCTGGGCAGATCCCAGGCTTCCGAGAATTCCTGCAGAAAGTCCATCCCAGGAAGTCTGTCCACAATGGTTTTGCCAAGGAGTTTTGGGAAGAAACATTTAACTGCCACCTGCAAGAAGGTGCTAAAGGACCTTTACCTGTGGACACCTTCATAAGAAGTCATGAGGAAGGTGGAAACAGGTTAAGCAATAGCTCTGTTGCCTTCCGACCCCTCTGTACAGGGGATGAGAACATCAGCAGTGTGGAGACCCCTTACATGGACTACGAACATTTGCGGATATCCTACAATGTGTACTTAGCCGTCTACTCCATTGCCCATGCCCTGCAAGATATATACACCTGCTTACCTGGAAGAGGGCTTTTCACCAATGGGTCCTGTGCAGACATCAAGAAGGTTGAGGCCTGGCAGGTAAGTTTCTCACTTAGCTAGCAGTTGTCTGTGTGATAAAGCAGAATCGGGCTGACCCAGCAAAGAAACATAATGACTACATAATTCACTTTTGTGTCACTGTGACCTGAGAGATCACCTTAAAGGAGAATTTGTCTGGGCTCATGGTTTCCAAGGGTTTAGTCTATGGGGCATTGGTCCCATGTTCTTGGGAAGAGCATCATAGTTATCATAGTCATCATAGTGTGTGGCATACAAGAACTGTTCTCTTCCTGACCAACCAGGAAGCAGAGACAATGACCTTCTCACACTCATCTTCTCCTTCCCCTCCTTCCATCCCCTTGGTTCCAGCATCAGAATGAGTCTCTCCTCAGTCAGTCAGTCCTCTCTGAAGGCTCCTTCATGGACACACTCAGGGATATGCCTTAGGTGACTCTAGGTCAGCTAAGACAGGGATGATTACAAAAACTGCAATCTCAAAATGAACACCAAGCAGAACTTTAGATTCGTGAAACCTTTTCAAACATCAACCAACTTATACCAATTGATGATGCTTGATTCGCTGTTGCTGGAGAGCTACAGCTCAGCTGACCATTAGCTCAATGCCCAGATCACCTAAAGCATTGCTCCTAAACATTCTCAAGGGTCTGCGAACCACTTCAGTGTGGCTGAATGACTGGTGCTAGGTCAATACCTATTATATTCCATATGCTAACAAGCATGAAAGCAGTGCTCACACAGACACTTTGCTTTGTTATCATGTCATTAAGCCTGTGCTGAACTAGCCAGTTGGTCAGCTAAGCACAAGCCTGGGACACAAGCATATGGGTGGCATAGCAAACCTAAAAAGGTAAATGTTTCAAGAGGAAACACTAGTGAAAACTACAGAAAACTCAGGATTTAAGTGAAGGTCTTTCTGCTGTTTTACAGGGTGGTCATTGAGTTGTCTTGAAGTTTTAAATTACACACGGAGGTGGCATCGCGGTGTCTGTAATCTCATGAACTTCTAAAGCAAACAACCGGGCCTGAATTACATCCTACAGGGCTGTTCCTGTCTTATGTGTGAACTTTGGTTTTTCACTCAGACTCTGTTTTACATTCTTTGTATGTTTTTCTCAGTTCCAGATTTTATCAGAGACTTCATGAGAATGGAATTGGGGTATCCCCTGTCTCTGAATCAAATGATTCAGCTTCAGCACCCCCTTTCTAAACTGTGGTCTTAGGCAAGTCAGGACTCTCTAAGCAACAGTTTCTTCCCCTGTCACAAGGCCCTTATGTCTAACCTGCTGCCCACCCAAGTGTCTTTTTAAGATGAAATGAGATATGAAAGCAAGTTACAAACTTGCAAGCTATAACAGAGGTGTGGTCATCACAGTAATAATTTGTATGTATGAGTGTGTGGTGTATGTTCATGTGTGGGTGTGGGCACATGTGTCACAATGCGTGCAGAAGCCAGGGATCAACTGTTGGACATCATCTTCAATAGTTTTCCACCTAATTTTTTGAGGCAAGGACTCTCACTAACCCCGGAGCTCTGTGATGGTCAATGAGCTTCTTGTCTCTGTCTCCTCCAATTTCCCTCCAGTGTTATGATTGCAGAAATGTGCCACAGCATGTCCAGTCTTCTCCATAAGTTCTGGAAACTGAACCCAAGCCCTCACACTTGCATGGCAGGCATTTTACTGGCTGAGACATCTCCCTAACCCTTATCACAGCGTTATCTTGGTCAGTTGACAACAAATGATAAGTAGAATAGGCTTATATACAGATCCCAACTACCTTTCAGGGAAGGCACCAAGAAACAAAGAGCATGGAACTTAATGTAGACTTGCAAGTGGTTCTAAGGAGTAACTATCTGTGCTCATAAAACAAGCCAGGAGGAGTGTGGAGAGGTGCCTTAGTCTAGCCTCACTCAGCGAGATGATGGGCCAGACTTAGTAGACTTCCTAGGGGAGAACTTACCCTCTCTGAGGAGCAAGTAAGAGGTGGGGGGAATGAGAGGAGAGGAGGGAGACGGAACTGGGATTAGAATATAAAAATAAATTAATTTTTAAAATTATTTAAATAAGAAAAAAAACAAGAAGACAGGACTCACAGGTTTCCAGTCCTCCTAGAATGGGAAAATCTCACTAGAAAGAACATCACTGCCACCCCCAAGTTTCTCATCTCTGTGGAGTACCCAGGCCTCCTTCCTCACACTGAACCATTGCCAAAGCAGATGGCTAAGCTACAATGAAGACTTCAGGGCAGATTGTGTTTGTTTTGTTTTGTTTTGTTTTTTGAGATATGGTTTCACTGTGTAGCCCTAGCTGTCCTAGAATTCTCTCTGTAGACCAGGCTGGCTTCGAACTCACAGAGATCCACCTGCCTCTGCTTCCTGAGCGCAGGCATTAAAGGTGTGCGCCACCACTGCCCAGCTCAATTGCAGAATTTAAGATGAATTAAGGGGCAATCTCTGGGTGGTAAATATCATTGTCTTGCATCGCTTTGCATCTATGTTCCATGAAAGGAAGACTTGTCTCTTGAATGTGCTACAGGAGCAGGGGAGGGTTTGAAGGGAAAGAAGTTGCCGGTGAGAAACATGGCTCCTCAGTGGCTCTTCTCCCAGGCAAGGAGTAAGATGGCAGAAGGCAATGACTCAAGCTTATTAGTAATGGAATAGAAAACCCAAACCAAATTGACCTGCACAAGTGTGTGTATGTGTGTGTGTGGGGGTGGGGGTTGTGGCTATTCTTGCTGCAAAGCTCAGTAGTATTTCCACCACAGGTGGTCCCATCTCTGTGTCTTTGTTCCTTATTCCCCAGTGTCACTGTTTGCAGCCTCAGCAGTAGCTTTAAGTTCAAAAAGGTTAAGAAAGAGGGGTGGGTGGAGAATGGAAAGTGGCTCCTGGCACTCGTCAGTGTGTCTTCTGCTATTACTATAGTCCCCCTGAGGCCCAGAAGCCTCCAGATTCTCTAAGATCTTGGTCACATTTCTCACTATCCAGAGATGTACCAGTAAGTAGTGACTGTCGTTAGGAAGACCTAAGTAGAAGCCTACCACCTAGATACAGTCTAATCCAAGAATCAGCTTGCAGCCACTGTCTGCCATCTCTCAACTCTTTGTTTCTAAGTCACTTGCTTGGCACCACCCTTCAAATGCCTTATTCGTTTCCGTGCAGCAATCTTGTTTCTCATTAGCTGTTGTCACGGCATGTTTGCCTTTCATCTCTTTGCGTCTATGTCCCATAAAAAGAAGACCTACACCCCATGAAAGGTACACCCCAGGGAGCATCACATTTTTTTCAAGCTCTGTCTACCATGAACTTTTCCATTTTGATCAAAACTCATTTTCTCCTGGAAATCTTTTCAAGTCAGACTCCCATGTATGTCCATTCGGTTCATTTTTCTTCCTCCTTTTTGCTGGCTCCCTGCCAAGCATAAGCTTCTGCAGTTGACAGAAAGCCCTACCTTCTGAGTGAAGAATTTCTAGCCTCTTGTGTCTGCGAAATGTTACCGACTCTTAGAATGTATGCTGATAGGTGCTTCCCATTCATGCTCACAATGCATACATCTTGGCTCTGGAGTCCTTTGGTGGAAATACCCGCAAAGGCCACAAGATGGAAATATCACCACATACAAGAAAGTGGAATTCTCGGAACTTGCATGCATGCATTTGCCCTTCTTGGAGATACGCGTGTCCTTCTTCTCAGAGATGCGTGAGTGCACTGTGGTTCCATTATGTCTGCTTTCTCTCCCCTGATTTACTCATTCTTTTTCTACCATCACTCCACAAAGAAAACAAAAAAGCAACACAGTATGCTGACGTATGAATTCAAGAAGAATCTTGTATTTTCTTTTTCAGTGGAATTATCATTTCCTTTTTAGAATTCTGAAAGCAGAAGAATGCTTTCTGTGAGAGAAATGCCTAAATACTTTTTATTTTTATGGACATGTACTCATTGTACATAGTGATAAGCTTCATAAAGACATTTTCATCAACTATGTCATGTACTTTGACCATATTTACCCTTCCATATGTTCCCCTTCCCCCCCTTTCCTGAGCCCCACTCTTCCCAGTCTTACTTCTGTTTATAGATGAGACCTGTGTATCTGCATAAAATCTAGAATCCACAAATAAGGGAAAATGTCAAAATATGATATTTGCCTTTCCAAGTTGGCTTATTTTGCTTAATCAGATAATCTTTGCTTCCATCTATTTTTCAGCTAATGGCATAATTTCATTCTCATTTATAGCTGATTGAAACTCCACTGCAAACATATACTCATATGTGCATATATATCTGTACATGTTGTCAGACACTTAGGCTGATTCAGTGATATGTAAGTAGTTCTACAATGAAGAAAGATGTGCAGGTATCTGTGGCATGTTCACTTTGGATACCCACCCAGGGTCTTATGGTAGTTCTACTTTTATCTTCCTGGGGAAATTCCATACTGGCAATCATACTGGCTAGTCTAATTTACATTCCCACCAGCACGGTACAAAGGTTCCCATTTCCCCACATTCTCACTAACTATAATTCAGTGGGAAAGAACTTACCTAGCAGTCACGATGTTTTGACTTCAAATACCAGTACCATTGAGAGAGAGAGAGAGAGAGAGAGAGAGAGAGAGAGAGAGAGAGAGAGATATGCTTTGTGTGTGTACCAGGAATAATCAATGTAAAGACTCTCTCTCATTGCTATTAAGTGTAAAGTGATTTTTCACCTCTATGTTCCCCATTACATGACTTATAGGCAAAGTATTATGCAGAATATAAAGTGCTCCAATATAAAACTTATAAGCTAGTGTGTCAAAAAAAACTATTAAAGATACTTAGAGAGATAACTTAAGGGGCTGGAGAGATGGCTCAGTGGTTAAGAGCACTGGTCATTCTTCCAGAAGACCCAGGGTCAGTTCCCATCATCGTGGAGCTCACAAGTGATCTCTAATTCCAGCTCCAAGGGATTCAGTGCCCTTTCCTTGCCTTTGTATGAGGTACACAAATATTCATTCAGACAAAACATCCATACACATAAA